ATGCGTCCACGTATTTATCGAAACTACTGGTCCGTAAAATCCTGGATATGTTCCTAAACTACTACAATAGACTTGTGTAGCAATCTGAGCACCATACGTTAAGAACAGAACATCTTGGTAGTAACCCGAACCACTAGTACTTGACATGTGTACAATAATACCAGCAGTCAGAGATGTGGGAGAAATCCAAACGGCAAATGTCCATGATTTAGAGTTGTAAAAACCAAATTGGTAAAATGAATACATTTGAAAATATGCCGATGTCGTTGTAAAACGAATTCCTTGATTCACACTCCCGGATGAAGCGACTACACTGTTATAATTGGTACTATTTATATGATTAACTCCGTTATCATAATAGGGATTTGGCTGATCAAATGAATAATAAACTATATTTGTTGCATCATTTAAAATTTCTGTTGAACTTTTAGCTCTAGTTAAAGATAGAACGATGCATCAGCAGAAAAGAAAATCGAATTTTTAACAGTCTGCTTCTATCTAAGACTTTTAAAAAAAGAATTGGAATCCAAACCGTGACTTAGTTCAACGTTTTTCAGCCATCGTACTTTCTTTGTGTTTTCTTGTTCGATACTCACTATGTACTATTGATAGTGTACTCCGTCTAATTGATCGCTGCCTCCCTGTCAATACCCTAAGATCTTTGAAAGCAGAACCTCTATGTCACTCCCCAGTAGATCATACCTAGTTGTTAACGCCATGTTATCAATATAACCATTATAATAATTTGCTGGTAAAAATGTTGATATACCAATTGTTATTGAACCGTTTTGACCTTGATATGGTTGAACATTTGAACGTATACTATCTTGTACACCATCCAAATATATTATTTGTTGTAATGTTTGATAATTATAAACAAATGCAACATGATACCATGTACTGGCTGTTAATGTTGCTGTACCTGCTAAATCATTGAAATTAAAACCCATATATAAATGGCTACTTCGAATGATTAAATACAAACATTGATTAGTACACGTTGTACATGCACATTGGCCAAATATTGTATTATCAGTTGTTACTAATTGTGGGTATATCCATGCTTCAACTGTAAAACTTGTATAGGTAAGATTAAAAAATGTTGAAACTGAAACCGATTGATTTGATGTTGATTGAAGTCGAATTGCTTGACCAGAACCGGAATAAACATAGGGGGATGTGGTTGGTGATAGATATGAGAAAGGATTTTTCCATCAAATCCTCAAAATCCTTTCCATCCACAAAATCAGCACCATAGTTGATTTGCGAAAAGTAGCTATCTCTGATATTTTGTTTATAACTCCACAATTTCGTGACTTGATTCTTGATAGGCTGGCGAATCGTCTTTTAAGTTCTCTTTAAAAATTCAAGACGTTTAAGAATTCAAAAGACATTTCATGAGACCATCACGTTTTTGTACTGTGCACGATTTTGCTAATATCACACCAAAGTAACAACTGTTCATGAACAATTGTACTTTTCATTGAGAGACTTTCGCTATTCGGCAGAACTTGATGTCCACTATACACTACCAGACTCAAATTTGCAAGAAGATTATTAACAAGATGACGATTGTCTAGAGTGTCGCTGGAAAATCCTTATTATAAAAAAACAAACAATTGATGTGTATGACTGAGATTCCGTATGACGATTATTGACTGTAGAGCTATGGAAGTTTCTGTCGAGTGCATCATAATGAATGAGCCTCTCAGTATTTTCTATTTTTCTCGTGCACGTTCAGGATCTCGCGGCTAGTGTTTTTTTAAAAGATACGCCACGAAATATTCTACAAATCCATGCCCAAACTTTAATTTTCTAACTTTAATCAAGGAAACCACATAAATTATACGAAAGGCGAAAAATGAAAACTTTGTATAGTTGGTATTTTTTCGACTTGACTTTTTTCTTCAGCAATTATTCACGCAACATAGTGTAGCAAAAGTGAGAACTCAGTTCTTTTTGTACTTCTGAACATGCTGTTTCCTCTGGCCTGTGAAAAATGTATTTTAGAGCAGATGGCGGGCTGGAGAAGTAAGTTTCAAAAATTTTTCCTCGTATTCAGCAATGTGCCGAAGTAAGAAATGGAAAACCTGATTGATGTTTTGATTTCGGAATTAGTAATAGAAAAGCAATCATTCCTGATCAAAACAAAACAAACCCAATCGAAAAAGCCTTTGTTTTGTTGAAGTTATGCGACTTTTACTCAAAGCACTCCTACACCCAGAATTTAATCATTATGACGCACTCGATAGAAACTTCCATAGTTCTACAGTGAATAATCGTCATACAGAATATCAGTCGTACACATCACATCAATTCCATTTTAGATGAGCATTAATTTGGTATATACTACATTTTTATATCATTTGTAGTGTCAGCTCTACCCGCCTGGAAAAATATTATTTCCAACCGTGTAGTCTACTGTAAGCTGCAGGATAGTGACTTACACTATATGCGTCAAAATTGTCGAAAAGTGTGCACATTAGATCTAGCATAGTCCATTTCCCGTAAAAAGTTTAATTTTTCAGTGAAAACCTGACACTTGAGAAAGCTACTACCACGGACCATAGGGAGTCCTGTGATTAAATTATATTTTCACCATGATTGCAGACTTTTCTTTCAAAAATGTTTTGCTCAGTTTATGCAGTTTTGTTAGCTCTACAAAATGATGGTATTTTGAGTTTGGCATATCTGAATTTGGCTGTTCCGCAAATGATTCACTCGAGAGAACTGACTAACTCTTCAAAAGTTCGCTGTGTCTGTAATTTAGGTGTAAAAGTGACAACAAACATGAAGAAATAAACTAAATATAGTTTTGCTTAGTTTTAGTACTGTTTTGAATGAATGGAATGCATCATAAAAATTTATGATCCAAATAAAATAAAATTCATGAATTTGTCTTTTAATATAAATGCCTGTGGAAAAATGTTTATAACTCAGGGACAAAAAGGTCTCAAAGCCGAGCTTTTTTAGTAATTTTGTATGGAGATCGAATGCGATAGGCTTTACATAAACACATTTTCGACAGGTGACTGCTCTCTAAAAAGGAAGTTGCTCTACCGAACCGAAAAGGGGAAGTTCCTCTACTGCTTGAGAATGGTCACTTACCAGTGATAAATCGTATTATATACGCCTAATGCTGACGAAAGGGAACGGTGCTCACTTAACCTTGTAAGTTGATCAAAATAGTCATTTTATAAGGTGTATGACTCAAAAATCGCATACAGATGAC